GTTGAGAGGATTAGAAAGCTATGAAAACTAATCAACGAGAGAGATCCACAATCAAGAGGATCGTAGATCTGAACTCCCGCGGGAGACTGTAGAGGTGATAGAGTAGGTTGTGGTAGCAATCCTACTCACTCCACGATCCAAAAACGGAACGCGTGGAAGATTCGTCTAGCATTTATCTAGTAGCGTGGAATCTCTCCACGCCAGCTAAATATCTAGCGCGATGTTTCACCATCGACCTAGTATGACTAGCGGTCATGAGAACCCTGTCCAGTGACTATTCACGAAAGACTCAGTCATGAGTCGAACAATACACGGCTCTTAGCCTTATTCGCAACTCAAACCCTATCTAGGATCGAGTCGCGAATAAGGCTAAGAGCCGTGTATTGCATTCGCCCCTGACAAGGGTCACGGAAGGCACGACATCAGTCGGACAGGAGAACATATGAATTAAAGTGCGGGGCACTCTCCGGAGATTGGATGTAGACATGTGCGTCACGATGGCAATCCTACAAGGGGATCAGGCCTTGTATGGGTGTAAATACCTTATGTTCCAAGTCTGGTAGACTGTGCCGCTACTGGCGGTAGTATGTCGGAGCCGTACAGTGCCATTGTATTGACTCGGTCTGTGTGGTAAGGACCTTTGTGCGTTGGCTGACCGTACTAACGGTTCTGATACTGATGAATCATCATAGTATCGTTGAATGGTGTTGATGAGGGACACGTGTCGTGTTCTCCTATCGGTGTTTTTCTGGATAAGTCGTTGGCGACGTTCCTTAACGTATTTCCGGTTTGAAACGGATGTGGTGAATCTCGTCACGATTGACGCGCGTGAACTTGCGACGAAGTCCATGTTCATCCGGAGAGTCTTCTCGACCTCTGCGCGGGACTCACGTTCCTGTCCATGACAACCGGTCATGGATACTGGTAACCCACGTCTGTTTCAGAAGATGGTTACTCCGTCTGCGTCTTGGAGCAGCCTTGGTAGTTCATTGGTCCCGATGAGTGGAAATCCACGTGAATTCCCATTGTGGTGCGAAGCAGCTGTGCTGGTTTAACCAGGTGGAAGAATCGCTGTGACATCTGTATACTCCAACAGTAGGGTCAGCAGTGCAGCCATCTGGCAATACAGAAATAGCTGAGGAACTCTAATATACCCAAGGATGATGCAGTTCTTCAGCCAAGACAATATAGAAAGTTAGCTTGCCAGCACCAGCCAAATGAAGATGCAAGAGAGCCAAAGCTGCATGCTGAGTGCTGTCGAGGATTTTGTGTTCAGTTGATTTTAGATAGTTAAAGAAGAAGAAGTAATGAAAGGATAGTTGACAGATACAGCCTCAGTAGCACTAGTTTCCCCACAGTTGAAGCCTTCCTGTGTGGATTGTGCCAAGGCAAAGAGAAGTTGTTCAATCATTGCTGTGGTAACTTTCATTCTCTCAAACTCAAAACACTCGAAAGATCTTTACACTAGCTTTTAGCGTAGTGCATTGATGAGTCCCGTGAAGGCTGGATCTTGGTCTGGAACTTGCCAATCTTGATCAATCTTTGGGTCAATATTGGTCAATCTAGGCCAATCTTGCTTAACAAAGGTCAATCTTGGCTATTGACCGAGATTGACCAAGATTGGAAAATAAGGCTTATTGGCTGGTCATACTCAATTAGGGTAACAAATAAAGATTTATTAAGAGGGGCCAAAAAGGTTGAAAGCAAAAACGAGTTAACTATCAGGCCCGTTAACTAGAACGAGTGTCAACCAAGATTGACTGAGATTGACCGAGATTCAAGCCTTTTAAAAGAGACCGAGATTCAAAGACCGAGATCCAAGACGTTTGAGTTAACAAGAATGAACTTCCTCATGTCCTTGTTACCATCATCATTAAAAATGAAGAAGCCGCAACAATGGGATCTTCTCGGCCGTCGGCAGTAAGAGAATAGAAAGTAAGAAATAGATATGGTTTTCTCTTCTATTCTGATACTGCAGACAACCGGAGACTTACCCTTGTTTTTCAACTTCCACCAACTTGACTGTCATGGGCCGAGAACTGACTGCCATCCCATGGTCCATAGGATTCAATGAGTGATGGCTTTCGAATCTGCACCGGAGACAGCCGGCTTGAGTGAGCGGCTTGGATAACACAGGGAGCGAAGCTAGGCAAAGCAGTAGCTGCGGTGGTGGGTGGCTGTTGTGGTGGGCGTACGGGGAGAGCAATGAGGATCTGTTGTTCGATCTCGGTTGGAAGGCTAATCTCGGCCAATCTCGGTCAATCTACCGTTGAATCTTGGTCAATCTTCCGAATCTCGGTCTGGACAACCGAGATTGGCGAGGTCCGTGACTCAGCCTTTCCCAAAACTGTCTTCCTGGCTAGCTAGTAGCTAGCTCAATAACCTCTTTAAGGAGGTATACCTACCTTTCATTCACGAGTAAGACTAACACGGACTGATAACCCATTCTAGCACGATGTTTGCTAGCAAAATATTCATTATCTCACAATGATGCAGTAGCGCAACTGGACTGGCCAATGATCTTTATTATCGCACTTCCTGTGTTATTCTATTGGACCTCCGACGTCAAAAGACATTTGGCTAGCGATCTGCGGCAGTGGTAACAGGGGAGATGTCAAAATGGTGGATAACGATTGGGTGAAAGTAGAGGGATCCGGAATTTTCATGTCATCATGATGATCAAGTCTATTATCTTTCACAAGAACCCTCCCTTGATACGGCTACCACTGGCGTATAGAGCGTACTCGAATTTCTATAACAGAATATTGGCATTGTCATTGGGTGTTATTGGGATAACATCTAAGAGCGCCAAGAAGGTCTGCTCCATTGCCGGTGAAATATCAACAATTTGCTTGTTCAGAGGATTTTATCGGCAGTCAAACGAGCCAGTCAGGCACCTTGATTTTTCTGCCCGAAGGAATCTCACTGAAATGGCACCCCTCAATTTCCGTGGCGGGAGATGGGCATTGCCAGTGCGCATCCCTTTTGGACTCATTATTTTGGTTTGAAGCAGTCCTCAACGACAACCAAATTTGCAAGTACAATGAAGCTACGTTCTGCATCCGATGCTATCACGGTGACCCATTTTGGCGGAGCTTCCGTTGATTTCCTTGCTGACATGTTGGTCAACCGAATCGACTATCCATCTATTCGTGTGAAGTTTCCTGGTAACAAATACCCTGCACCAACTGTGGGGGGCAACTTGCAAGTTCTTGTTCTATCCGTCCGCAAGGAGACCAAGCAGTGCTTTGGAAACAGAACCATTTTGAAGTTGGTACTCTTCGATGGTAGTAACAATTGTTTCAAAGCTGTGACTGACACTCTTCTCTCTAAAACTTTGCCTGATGTGAAAAGGGGAAGTTTACTCTCCATATCGGAGTACAATTGGATCAAACTTACGTCAACCTCGAGTTTCAAGTACATTCGCATTATGATGATTACCTGTTTCGAAGCTTTCGATCCTCCTGCATGCGAGGGAAAGGAAATGTTGATTATGGATTATCCTGATGATAACCGTATTGGCTTGACCGAAGAACAGATGAAGGCCAACACTACTTCTTTCCATCCTGACATTGAGAAAAAGTGTCACAGTACCGGTGAGATTGTATTCACTTGTGCCGAATGCCTCTATGATCCGAAGACGAACACGGGCTTCGTCTACTGTAGCATTGCCAAGAGGTGGCAGCTTGCCTCTGCCGCTCCAGTGTCCATCAAGTTTCTTAAGCCAGACTTCAAACGCTTGTTTACTACTGGATACGCTGACAGCAGCGATGATGATTCAACTGTTATGTACTGCGAATGCCAGTCCAAGTTCGATTATGTGTGCTGTGGAAGGTTCACCTTTTCGATTGCCACGATGGACACTGACCTTCTCTTTGACAAAATGATTGCCAAGGTCCCTGAGGAAAAAAGGCTTGCCAAGTGCTGGGATGACTTGGATGCTCCTAAGAAGCGCTGGTGTGTTTATAGCTGGATCGCTCCTAACATGTACAATCTCATGGAGAGGAAGGAACTGCCTGCGTGTACCGGTATGGTGGAATATGTTCGTGAGAAGATCCCTAACAACCATGCTGGGCAGTCTTTTACAGGATTCGTTCCTAGAGCTTACACTCACAAGTCTCTTATGTCACCCATGAAAGCTGATACCCAGTCTGTTGAGGATGCCGACAAGGAAGACGACAAGGAAGACGACAAGGAAGACGAAAAGGAAGAGGACAACGACTACGGAGAGCCCACTACTGAGGACTTCGAAGCCTACGTCGAAGAGATGAAGAAAACAGCTTCCAAGAGCGAACAGGAGTATTGGATCATTGCCTTGGATTTCGCCTCCACCTATGACAAGAGCACAATGGAAGATGCGAAGAAGATTCTAGATTTCAAGGAGGAGAAAGAGTCCAGTGACTAATGTCGCGTGGTATTGTGGAGAAGTGTGGCAATAACACCACTGATAACTTCTAAGTGTAATGCAAGAGATTATTTGTCACTATTATTTAGTCTACATCCTCGTTGATCTGTTCCTCTAGGATGCTTTCAACCGTGTCTTTGCTACTGTTGTTTACCTCCAGAGGAATGCTGTCTAAAAGGGATTGTTGTGTACGTTGTTGTTCTTCCTCAGTCATTGCTTCTAGTTGGACAACTGATGGATGACTGTCACACAGCTTCCGATTCATAGGGCATAATCGGCTGCTCCTTCTCTTGTGTCCCCAGTTGCCACAAGCTTTGCAGTAATTGTCATCTGCGCAACCGACTGGTTTCGCAGTTTTCGGTGGTTCTGGTTTATTGTTGTTCTTTGTCTTCTGTTTCTTCCTTGCTGGTTCACTAGGATCATCCAAAGCACTACAAGTCTCGTAAAACATGTTCTTCTCTCGATCCTCTTTCAGCTTGGCATGGTACGAAAGAATTTTCTGATAAACACGCTTGTTCCTTTTGCGTCGGTAGGCACTGGTCTTCCTTTCAGCTAGACGTTTATTCCTTGCTTCATCGACTAGCCAGAGGTAGTGAGCGGTGGCTGCATCCATTTCTATACCAAGACGAGAGAATACGTTAGTATAGAATGCCTTTGGACCCAGAATGTTGATTCCTATTGCCATCAGTACTCTGACCCGCAGTGAAAGGGTGCCACTGTAGTGTTTGTTCTTCGGTGCAAGCCATGAAATAGTACAGTTCAATGACTCATTCACTTGAGTATCCCCTCCGTGAACCACCTCTTGTAGCCTCTTCATTCTGGTATATTTCTTCATGATAACACGTACCACCTCGAAGAGCTCTGGTTCCTTCTCCCTCGACCGGTATTGTTTGTCAGACTTTGCTTTTTGTTCTTCAGTCTCATTCTTCCTTGAGCAGAAAGAGTCACAACAGTAGCGATGATCGTCAAAATGGTGTAACAACGGTGCCTGACTTCTATCTTTCCATTCGGACTCAGGTACATCTTTCAAATCCCAAATAAGGGAGATAAAGTTCACACACAGCCTTAGTATGTCACCCTCACAGAGACCATGATTGTACTTCTTTTTCTTGCCTAACAGAGCGTATAAGTCGTTCCGTAAGCCCTTCTTCCTGTGGGCTGGATCTGCGATGAACTCTGGCTCCGGAATGGTTGCCGGAAGTAGACCTCCGCTTCGACGAACTTCTTTCCATGTGGGGCATTTGTGTGATGGAGGAGTCCTGCTCTCTTTTTCGAAAGGTAAGCAGACTTTACAGGGCTTCTCGACGTGTTGTTCAGGTTTCTTTTTGAATTGGAGTACCAGACCCGCGATAGGTATCTCCGTAATACCTTTCGCTTGAAGGAAGTCTTCATTGGACCATTTTGTGTTTGCACGCATGCTTGAGTCATCGTCAGTGATGATTCGAGTGACATGTAACTGATATTTATCATGTAAGAAGCCCAGCATGTACAGTAAAGCTGAAGCTTCCATCGAACCAGCTGAACCATCGTGGTTGATTTGACACTGGTGGTCTGCGGGTGGCATTGTTCCTTTGGCTTCGTGTCGTTTACAAGTGGAACAAAAATTACTCTTCAAGCACCATGCAATAGGCTTGCGAGTTTTCTGAGCAACTAGGCAAGCATGACCGCTAGAGGAGTCATGTTTCCTACCGCTTCCTCTCTTCTGCCAACCCATATCCATTGAAACAACCAAGTCAACCGATTCTAAAGAGGAGGAATTGTTGGTCAATTTCCCTTCCAGTACGTCCGACTTCCATTTGTTCAGATCAAAAGTTCCCGCTGCGATCTTGTCAGCCATTAGGATCTTCACTTCTTCAAATAGATTGTTTTGAATGGCCTCCTCTGCGACATCTTTGATTGTTGGGTACAGTGCATCCACTATTTCCTTAAATGTATGGGTTGTCATCGAAGTGGAGCATGGAAGGCTCATAAGATCCAAAAGACGCCCAGCCTCAGTGCTGCCATCACCACCGGCGAGATGCGCCATGACAAAGCGAAGGTTGGTTTCATACACTTTATTTGAAGGGTTCCCCTCTTCACAGCAATATTCGTCTGACTGCATTCCCCCTCAACAGACCTTCCATTACACTTGGGACTATTGCAAGTCAACCGAGGTTTAAATGCCAAGCACTTTGTCTTGAAGGAGAACTTGATGTAGCCAGATTTGCCACATATGGTGCATGCAACATTGTCCTCAATAAACTGGCATAGACTTTTTGTTTCAACGATATTGCGAGCCGGTTTCTTGTCGCCATTGATGATAGGAAGTTGTTCTTCTGACTCGTCTTGCGTTGGCCTGACTTCCTTGTTTGGGTGCACGTTGGTTGTAATCTTCAAAGCCGTTTTTGGGACGGTGCACCACGATTTAGGGAATTGTCAACTTCCCATGAAATCTTTGCCTGTACTTCTTGTGGCAATTTGCGGTCATACCGGTTCAGTCCTTGCTGGATCCGAAGATGTTCGTGTCTTGCCCTTTCCCTTTGGTCTTCTGTTAGACATCCCAGGAGTTGATCAAGTGTCTGAGGTGTTCCCTTGCTTCGCGTAGACCTCGATGCAGGAACCGGCGTTACCAACGGAGGGCCATCATTTTCCCCAACCTTGCTCTCCTCCGAAAAGCTCATTGTTCTAATGGGAAACTTCTTCCATTACAGAGCTACTCGACATGTTGCTATCTTACTTGTATCTAACTGAAAAGGAACAGAGTTGACACTATCGAAACTTCATTCCTTGACTGATTGGTCTGATCTTACCACGTTACTGACCTAATCAAGGTCGGCCGTCTCATACAATCCGATTGGTTCAGAGGGGCCGTTGGGGGGTTCGGCAGGCAACCCACAGATACAACATTCTTGTGTGTTTCGACTGATAGATTCCATGTTCCACATAATGTGCCTTCGAGGTCCGAGGTCTGGAAACTACCGACAGAGGTGCCTCCACGACCCCCAGCGTCTGTCCTTCCATCCGAAGGTAGGTATACCTCCTTAAAAAGACAGCTCTTCTAAGCGTACCTGTACATTGCTTTAGATCTCGCTCTTCGCAAACAATAGTACATGCTTCTGGCTGACTGCAGCTCCCGATAGCTCCGGGATACCAGACACAGCAAAGGTGACATGGGACCTGTTGCTGCAGCATTTCCACTCGCGTATGCGCCTGTTGAAAAAAAGAATATGCACTATCTAAATTTATCACAATACGCTATGAACTGCCAGATAAACTCGTGGCAGGGAGAGAAACACAGCTCCACGGAGCTTGCTGCTGTGGTAGAATCACCACATCTCAGGTCGCCACTTAAGACGCTCTCTCGAATGCGGTGATGTCTCCCGGAGGCCTCGTTTGGGTTGGGGTTGCGTCGATTCCAGATCAAGTCAGGTCTACTCTGTTCTCGTCTCGTAACAACGCGTCCAAACGATTGATTGGCTTCACTCAACCAACGCAAATTGGAGTCGAGTCGAGCTGGATGCCCATCATATATGTTTGTCGCAGCGGTAGCATCTCTGCTGTAAATTAAGCAACTGGGACTTCGGCGTACACAAACTCCCCAAAGTCACCACTGTGTTTCCAAAGAAGCCGGGCATCGTCGACATGATGTGTCACCGTCACCGACACACCATCTTGGTGGTCATCTAATAGTTGGCTAACGCTCTCCGCGTCCACTGCATCTGCTCCTTCGTTCCAACCAACCTTGGCGACTTGACTGGAGTTGGAGGCGTTTGTCAGTGTCCTTGTGGTGGTGGTTGTCGTCAACAACCATACTTGTATCGCATCTTCTTCTTCCCGTTCATTGGACAGTGAGATTCCATCTCCAGCAATGGTATCATAAACTTCCAATCGATACGTTCCAGGTTGTACATCCAAGATGTGTTGCGAGATGCGTTGATTGCGCAAAGATACTGTTGGCCGTGGCGAAACCAGTTTCAACAGTGGGGCATTCTTCTTGGTAGTAGCGCTCTCTTCCGACTGTTGTTGTTGTTGTTGTTGTTGCGCCAGCGCCCAGCTGATTTCCTGTGGGTAGTTATCGTAATGTATATCGACTCGTAACGTGAGGGTGGTGGAAATAGTCACGTTCGGTACGACAGAGGTGTTGGTGGCATTGTTGTTCTCTGCCGCCACTACCAACAGCCCTGCATCCACATTCTGCTGTATCTCTATAGCCGAGCCAGTCAGCGTCATGTTGTTGGGGAAACTGCAGTGGGGAGGTGGAACTTCACTGAGATGACACAGTTCTCGGTTCACCCATTCATGAGCGACTTGGGTACGAGCATAGATTCCCGGAGCATCGGGCCGGGCACATCCTACGGTATCAAAGCAAGAAGCAAAGGACTGGGTAAGCCCTCGAATCGAATCGAATCGAATGAACCACCATCTCATTTGATTTTTTCAATAGTAGATACTATTGTGGATCACCAACAATCCAATCCACGAATGCACTCACCTTCACCCCAACTAGTGACTCCGACTTGCAACCATCCTTGAGGAGTCTTTCGTAGAATGGGACCTCCACTATCTCCTTGACAGGAATCCACGGCGAGCGTGTCGTTGAATTTCCCATGCGCACAAAACATGGAGTCACGACCGACCTTTCCGGGTCTATAGCGAGCAAAGGAACAATCATGATGATACTGGACCGTAGCTTCTTGGAGAATGTTGGAAATGTCTCCGTCTTCTGCCGTCAATCCGTATCCCACAATGGTCAAATCTTCTTGATCTCTGAGAGGTAGATCGTTGTCCGACTGCAGTTGGATGGGACGGACCGATGGCACTGGTTTGGCGAGCTTGAGTAACATAAAGTCATTGGCATTGTTGTTGACTAGATTGGTTTCGTCGTTGAACTCGGGATGGATCAAGTAGTCCAGGATTTCGATAAATGAGTGTTTTGGGTCGCCTTCGACTCGCACGCGATGATCTCGAAGGGTATCTGTGAAACAGTGGGCTGCCGTCAAGGCGACATCGGCGTGAATGAGCGTGGCACCACAGCCGCGGTACCATTGAACAAAAAAGGGAAAGTCTTGATGCGGCACATGAACGTCACGGCCATTGACAATGCGTGTTTGAATCAAGAGGTTGCGGTCCTCATGCTGCTGCTGATGCTGATGTTGAGAGGAAGAAGAAGCGCTTGCTACGGAAGATGACGGTAACGTCTGTGATGGCTCATGCTGAATTCGCTGCCGCAGTCGTCTTCGACGAGGACCAGAGGCACTGCCACGCGTTGGCTGCCACACTAGACACAACTGGAAGACTACGCGAGCCAACCGCGACCATTGTTGTTTGCTGGAAGCACTCATGCCTTTGTACAATATGACGGAAGAAGACAAAGATTGTTGCTTGTGTAGGTACCTGCGCTTCTTCTTGGATCGAGCAGTTCTGTGCCTGCCGCGCCGATGACACACTCAGCTCAACCCAACTCAAATGGACTCTCCACTTTCTATCGACACGAGCAAGGCACCAAGCGACCACAACTTGGCGATGCAATGATTGTGCTAATAGCAGCAGAGGAAGCTTGGCAAACAGAACAACAGTTACTGTCCAGATTCGATTCGATTCGATTCACGACGACGATGTAACTCAGAAGACGGTATACGATGTTTCAGGTGGTACTGGTATAAAGGTACCACTCATCAGCGGCCCGGAAGCTTTGGAATACTTCTCGGTGATTCGATTCTTGCGCGTCTATCTGTACGGTTGTTTCAGTGTCGTCGATCGAAAGCTCTGTTGCTGGCAACCTTCGCATAACTCAAGGAAGGTCGACTACTTGATTAAAGGGCTTCAATGCAAATGAACGCCAAATTTCAGATGCCTTGGTCTGGCAAGGTCGTACGACGATGCCGATGTGGCATGTGGCAGCGTCTCATCAATGTCCAACCAGGTTTGCAAAGTACAAGAAGAAAACGGCTGGTCCTAACAAACTGAACAGGGCAATTTTAATTTGGAGGAATCCTTTATATCTTCATTGCACTTCTCTCAATGATTTAGTCATCTTCATCCAAAACCTGTGTCATCAATGTCTCGAGTCTCATTTACAATATTGCTCAATAATGACCCAGTTGCCAATAGTACAGCCACTGTGACTACCCTGTAGAACTTTCTTGACTTCCAACCCGTACACCGGTACTGCCGAGGCACCGGTACACTGGTACTGATAGGCCAAAGATTGGCAACAATTGGCTTTGCATTATTTAATCAAATTGGCATGTAGCATTCTGTATTTGGTCAAAAATGCATATTTTGTATAATTAAATGGTGTGTGGTTTGGCCGAAGTTTAGCCATAAGTGCTTCAGTTTAAGTACTGAATTGGAAGTTAATAACGAAAACTGCGACAATGTTCACCGGGGAAGGAAAACCGGTCGGGCCAGTCCCAGTTCGCACCTTGCTTGCGGGTCACCCCAACCGTACATGCAACCGCACACAGTGTACTCCGCACCGGTACGTCGAACCGCAGCAAGGTACCAGTATCAAAACTGCAGCTCGGATATGTAGATCCGTTGAGCTATAGTACATGTAGCTAGCTCAAGCTAGCTGGTACACTGTAGATAACTTTGACAATGAGCTGGGATGGGTAGCACTCCAAGCAAGGGAGCTCAGACAGATGAACAGATGATGAACAGATGAACGTCTACCTGCCTATGAGGTGCTGACTTTCGCATGCTTCTGCTTCTGCAGAAGCAGCAGCCAGCAAGCCTAGAAGACTGGCTGAGCGCCTGAACCAGCAGCAGGGCCTGGAACTGCAGGTTACTCAAATTTTGTAATCGACGCAGAGGATTTCATGGAAAAAGGAAGTCAGCAGCTGTTGTACGAGGATCCAGGCTCAAGAAACCATGGATGCTGCCCTGCCAAGGAGAAAAACGCACCTAGCTAATGTTTAGCCAACAAGTGAAGCAACCAGCATAAATACAGCAACCATCTACATATCAGAAAGCTACCACTTACCTTCAATTGCAGTTATTAGAAGTAGTGAAAGCAAGTTGCCGAGTTTTGTCCGTACGGTAATGAGAGTGGTATTGTAAGATGTGGTCAGCCTTGCCTGACATCAGGATCTGAAGACAGCCTTCTTTGAATACAATGGCTCCTCTTCACTCTGCACACAAGTGTTCTTAGCAGACTACTGGCTTAGAAAGGGCTTAGATCTTTCCCTTAATTCTTGTTGGAAAGAAGGCTTGCTCGATGGTCATGTACCGGTACTACAGTGGTACTGTACAGTACCATTTTTTGAACAGTTTCAGGACCATCCCTTTATGTATATGTTGTCCGCTTTATTATAAGATACTGGAAGAGAATAGTTCTGCAGACATTCATCTAGCTACTGAATGACAATTTGCGTCATAATTGTTTAAAAGGTGTTATTTACGTTAATCTAATGCGTAGCACCACCAATCCCGATGACCCTTCAATGGGGCTCTTTTTACTAACAGTGCCACGATTAGCTCAATACATCCGACCTCCGAAGCCTGGATACAGTGTTGACTATTAATACCGGTATTCGGAGTGCCATGCTGCTATGGTTCGGTGCTGTATGGCCTGTTTTCTGGGCACTTTACTTTGGGCTGGGTTGCGAAAGTAGAGGTACTAGTAGAGTACGGTACGGTACCACCGCGACCACCGTAGATTGTCGCTCTGCTGCTGGTTCGTCTTTGTCAGTCTTCTTCCGCATCGTGCTCAAAATTCCGAAGAACTCGAAACTCAATACAAAATCGAATAGATACTCGATCTGTTCCACTGTTGTTGAAAGTACGGTAGTCTACTGGTAGCAAGATGCTGAGCGTGTCATGCGAGAGCGACGATATCTCTCTATTGGAGTTGCAAGGCGAGAAGAAGTCCTGCTTGGAGGACTCTTTCAACGCTTCCTACACGGAGGATTTGGAGCCGTTGGATGACAACGACGACCATGACGATGACTCTGCTACCAATAACGATAGCAGGAGCGCCAGCCCCAAACGCAGGAGCACCAGTCCCAAACGACCCAAGCGACGACCCGTGAGGAGAGTCAAGAGCGATCCAGACCATCGATGGGAAGACAACAGCAAGAACGACGACGCTCCCCCTCATCGATGGGAAGTCATGGGCGCCGCAAAGGACGACAGCAATGTCCCTAGTAGTGACGCTGATTCCAAAGAGAAATCCAGACGATCCAAGTTCAAACGGGCAAATTCTGTGGACGTCCTCAGCGTCGGCCCACGTCACAGCTGGGATGGTGGTAGCCGCGTCAAAAGCAAGAAACCCGACTTTCGTTGGGACAAGTTCGTCGAAGCCGAGCTCTCGGATGATAACAGCAACGAAAACAACAACGAAACCAGTGATAAGAGCCTTTCGGCTTCTTCCAACGACGCGAGGACCGCGATGACCGCGAGTCCTCGACGCAGACCTCCTCGTAGAACCAGGAGTGCTGCTGCCAATTTCGAGAGACCTCTGCTGACACGCAGCAACAGCAAGGTCCGATTCTGTCTAGGCAACAACGATTGCATTGAAGTCCCTCGTATTGCCAAGGACATGAAACGGGATCTCTTTTACACCAAGAAAGAAATCAAGGTGTTCAAGGCGGAAAAGAAGGAAGAAAAGAAAGAGGCCAAGGAGCGTCGAAGAGAAGAAAAGGAACGCCAAAAGGAACAAAAGGAGGATCCACCCGGCAACTCCTTTGCTAATCCCGCTGGCAACACTGCCATTGCCAGTGCTTGTTAGTAGCCACACAAGCAATCATACATTAATGAAAAACAACCAACCAACCAACCCAGTGTCGGCTGACCAACCATGATCAACAAACACCAAACCAAAGAATAATTGGAGAGGATGAGCATGTCATCTCAAAAGAGTCACTTGGACTGACTTTTACTGATCAAGAAATGTACAGAAAAATCCAAACGTAATTTTAATTAATAAAATCAATGAAACATTACATGTAAGGAAGTGAGGCAAAAGAACAGAAATCACTCCCTGTCATCAGCTATAGTAGCTTGCATCGAAGTTGCTCGTAGCTACCAGTGGAGAAAAGATTTCCTGTTCCGGACGAGGCAGTAGCAAGAAACGAAGTTGGAGGCATGGGGAGTTGCGTTTCTCCGGATATCAAAGGCTATAGTCGCCGCTTAAAATCTGCTCGATACTAATTAGGCATAGCTAGGTACTAGCAGCGTTAGTCTTCTCTAAAGTCTTTCTGCTGCTTTCTGAAATGACACTTCCATGCTACCGGGTACCAGGTACGGTACGATCCAAAGCCAAAACACATCAGAATTTATCCGAGATGGAGATGACGCGGAGCAAGATCTGAAACGCATCTTTCATGTTGGAAAGGATGGCATATTCGTTGTCGGCGTGATATGCCTTGGATTCTCCGAACCTACAAACAACACAACAAATTCGAAACATGGAAGATAGGGTGTGAGAGGATGGGGAAACGAAGGGTGTCAAATCAACGATGGGAACCAGTCCAAAACACAAATCGTACCCCGTAATTTGAACGTCGAACCCTTCCCTTTGCATTTGCCTCACCAATGGGAGGCTACCAGTAATCGCATAGGGTTTGGCTGGTTCGCCCTTGACTTCCGTAGTGGCGTCAATCAGCGCCTGTAGTCCGAGTGACTTCAAATCGCAGGCAATCCCTTCCATTTGTCGAACGGCTCCTTCCAGTGTATCCGCCCACTTGAGTTCCAATTTTCCACTCTTGATATCAATATCATCACCTTCCAGTGTATACTTGCTACAGGGACCTCTCGTGGGAATGAAACCCGGTGTTCCCATGTTTTGATTCAATTCTTCGACGTATCCCTCCACCTTGGTCATGACGTCGGCAGGGTCGTAAAAGGGAGTGAGTCGAATATCGCCCGAAAGCGTCGTCCAGGGCGGCAGCTGGTTGAGGGCGCCCTGAGCGCATTCGATTTGGGTTGGTTTCATGGTGCTGGGTGTGGCAAAGCCGTACTCGTCTTCTTGGGCACAGGGTGGGAAATCTTCGTAGAACCGTCTTTGAACAATCGCGAGTGCTTCCGATGCCAGTTCCAGCGAATTGATGCCTCGATGGGGTAATCCACTGTGAAAGAGTCGTCCACGGGCCGTCAAGTGCCACTGTAAGGCCCCGGCTGTCCCCGTACACGGTTGCGAGTCTGCCGAATCAATCCAGTAGCAGGTTCCATTTTTGAGATCTTCAATGTGTCCCTCTTTAACGACGGCATCGACACCCACTCCCGACTCTCCTCCTTCCTCTCCGGCAATGAACAATGCCACAACCGACCTGGCCAGTGATGGTTTCTTCTCTGCCAGTGCTTTGAACAGGAGCGTGATCATGGCCACATGTCCCAAGCAATCGGTAGTGCCTCGCCCAAACAACTTGTCGGAAGCTTCATCGTATTCTAGTGTAAACGGATCTCGTTCCCAAGTCTCTGGATTGGCCGGAACAACATCCATGTGCGAGCCTGTATCGAAAAACAAATACACTAGCAGTGAGGACTCTTTCACAGTATTTCGGTGCTGTACTATAGCAAGTACAACAGTAACAACGCACCAATAAGTCCAGTGCATTTTCCACTGGTTCCTGGAAAGCTAATTTTGAGATTGGGACGTCCTTCCTTGTAGACGAACTCTTGAATGACGAGCGGACCACCGTTTTCCGTTTTGAAGGGTTCCAATACCTCCAACACATGCTTGGCGACCCTTCCTTCCTGATTTTCCAACAATCAAAAACCAATTAGAGCGGTACTGTATAGATGGTTGCTGTTGCTGCATGTGAAGACGCGACCATGAAATCCAACTACATGTAACTAACTTACCTCTGGAACCAGATTTTGCCTTGGATTATTCTGCAGATACTTGGATTCTCCAATCAATTTCGTCAAGAGGGCAATGTATTCGTCCTTGTCCAAGGACATGTCCTTCAATTCATCACTCAACAAGGACGTCATTGTATGTAGTCTTATTACTGTATGGAAACTCTCAACTAGACTACTACCTGGTAGTAACTCGAGCTTTGAGGTGCTTTGCTTTTTGATTACAGCTTTTGCGTCGTTGTGGCTCGGCCGTTGTCTCGATGGCTGGAAGATCGCCGACTGCTGACACAAAAGATACCGAGATATAAAATATTATTGCTATTTTAGCAGAATGATTGGTCGTTTGCCTCATTCTTGTCTCAACCTCTCTTCTTCGTGACATAATAGCTACACCTACGGTAACAGCAGGTCAGATCTAAGTATATTCCAGCATGCCCTCCTCTGCTGTTGCTGCGGATGATGATGATCTAGAATCGCATCGAGTGAATCTCTTTCTCCACGCCGAAAATGTGCGTCTCTTTGACATTGACCAAAAAGATCGTCAGTTACCCGTGACACTGGTGACAGGATTTTTGGGCAGTGGCAAGACGACCCTGCTGCGACACATTCTCACCCACAAGTCCAATCTGAGGATTGCAGCCGCCGTCAATGACTTTGCCGAATTGAATATTGACGAGAATTTCATTCGAAACAATGCCACGGGGACTGCCAGCCGGGTTGTGGAACTCTCCAACGGTTGTGTCTGTTGTCACTTGCTGGACGATCTGCAACTGGCCGTATGGAAATTGCTGGGAGGAGGACAACAACAACAAAATAGCAACAGTAGTAGTGAGAATGATTGGACATTGGATGCCATCAACTATCTGCTGATTGAAACATCCGGCATCTCGGATCCTCTTCGCATCATTCGAACATTGGATGCCAAATTTGGAAAGTGCTTTCGGGCCAGACTGGATTCTGTTGTCACGGTGGTGGATGCGGATCAAATGCTCTCATCCCCTTCCACATCCACAACCGCACTCGCACAACTCAAGTACGCCGATGTCATTCTCCTCAACAAGACAGATCTACTTCCAGATCCAGACAGAGATTGTCAAATCTTGCAAGAACAAATAAGGTCCATCAATGACAAGGCCAAAATTCATCCAACACGTCATTGCAAAATACCATTGTCGTTTATTATGGACGTACAAATACCATCATCATCATATTCATCACAACCATCTCCCATTACACACGAAGTATCGGCAGTGCCCATTTACGTGTCTGCCACTGGAGGAGCGCTTCGTTCATCCGCATCCTTGGCCATCTCTGAACAACCGCAACAATCACATCCATCCCATCTACAAGCAGACCAGTTCGTATCCACTTCCGTGACGCTCTCGGATCGACCATTGTCGCTACAGAAATTACAACAATTCATTACCTCGCCGGCTGTGCAAACACTGGCACGAATCAAGGGTGTCGTATGGATACAGGGCGGTTCTCTGGAACAATATCGATGCATTCTGCACTTGAGTGGACGAGGTCGTTTGGGATTTCAGTTGGAAGGAAGATGGACGGGACCTCCCACCACGGAAATGGCATTCATTGGGCGACACGACAAAAACAACGACGCTACAACAACGGGCCATTATTTGGAATCGCTAGAGACTGACTTTGGCAACTGCAGAATCCTCCAAGACAACGAAGAAGAATCCGTGCCAACAGACGACAATGACAACGTCGACATGATGGAAATCCTCCAACAGAGTCCAGAGTTTGTCATGGTGGCGAACAATAGCAGTATTGAGCAAGAGAATCATCACGATTCTTCCGTGGTGCACTTTCGCTTGACTGGAAGCCAGGTGTACGGATACACGGAAGAAGAAATTGAGCGGGATCTTCGTATAGACACGGATGCCATGAACCGAGATTTGGTCGATGCCGTCAATGCCAGTGTGGAGCAACCAAAGGCGTTTCTCACATACTCGTTGCACACCACCATGACTTCCGATTGCGGCAAGGCAAGAGAAAGAGTGGTCTTGTGCTATGGCGGGAGGGGTCAACCTGCCAACAATTTACAAGTGCTCATGAGAGAAGCAAAGGAGACATTGGCAGTTCATTTCCGCAATGTGCAAGTCTGCAAGTGTGGAATGTAACAGCATAATTCTAATAGCCATTACGTTAGTTGGCACATACATGTAATATATACTATCCAGTGGAGGTGGCAGAAAGTCCCATGATAGCCATCATCCTTTCGTTCCGTTCCTTCAGTGGTCGCAAAGAAAGAGACAAGCAGAAGTTATCATCTCATGGCGCTCCTTGTTCATCTTATTCTCTCTAATTTTCCAGCTCTGATGTTGTATCCACTGCTTTTGCTTGGATGAGAATCTCTCACCCCGTGCTTTAGTCTCTTTGCAATCCTCCAACATCTTATTCCATTTTGCATCATAGACATCATGGTGCCGTTCAGGGACTCGAGTCCATTGCCGAATACACCACTGGAATTCAATGGAATTCAATTTGTCTACTCGCTCCTTATTCAGAATACCTTTCTTGTAGCTGTGTCCCTGTCGACGAGTCCACTGCCCTAACGCCTGTTCTTCCTTGTCCTCGCTGCGGGTTGGGACTCTGCTGTGCCCATGCACATCAATATATGCCGTCAATTGAAGAAATCGAACGAGGCATGCATCTTTACGGGTTGCGGCCGCTGCCATGTTCTAGCTTGTTTTGGATAGTACCGGTACGGTAGACTGAGAGAGTGATGGTAGGTAGATGGGTTCGTAAGTAAGCAGAAACAAGCTGGGAGCACAAAGCAGATTGATGAGTGCGAGTAGCTTCTCTCAACTATGAAGTGTGTGACAAGAAAACAATGACATCCATTTCAGGAACAAATCACGAAATAAACATTGATTATGTATGATGGTTTCATTGGCATAGTCAGCAAATCAGCGAATCCGATATGATGTAGGTGGTTAGCATACTTGCCTTTCACGCAGGATACCAGGGTTCGAGTCCCTGTATCGGAATCTTTTGTGTTTTATGGTGCCTCTATTGTAGTACAGGCTGAATCTAAGCTATCGAGACAAACGCAAGCCTGCTCCCGGTAAGACATTCGAATGCGAACCGGAACCTTTTGGAACGTTCCTTGAAAAGACTTAAGGGGAATATATAGCCTTAACCTTAATCTCAACTGACATCACTCGGATCGGTCGATCCATCCAAGCCACTCGTACACCTCTTCTTTTTCATTATTTCGATACCTCTATCTTTACTCTCTATTGACTCTATCAAGATGATGCCATCTCCTTTACAGCGGCTACTCCTCGTAACAAAGGCTACTACTCACCACCATGACAGGCTCCTTTTCTTTGCATTGCGGCAGCGGCGGCCGTTCGACGATCGGTCGTCCCGTTCGATAGATCGCTTCTTTCTTCTTTCTTCCACGGAGCGACCATGACGCCTCCTCTTCCACGAGGGAGCGATCTAGCCAGCCGACTACAACCGGCTACTACTAGTTCAACAAGCGAAGCGAAAGCGAAGCGAAAGCGAAGCGAAAGCGAAGCGAAAGCGAAGCGAAAGCGACGCCTCGACAATGGCACTGGAAGGAACTGCTTCGGTTCGGCGGATTGATTCTGTCTTCTTCCTGCTGCCACGGATCATCTTTCACGCCGCGACCATGAGGATCGCTTCCTCTCCACGGAGTGACGAGTCCTTATGACACTGCTACTACAAAGGAACAAGCGACAGCTTTTCTACTACTGCTGCTTCGAGTAATCAACAGAGTACAAATGTGAAATATATGCAGTATTGCCATGGTTGAGCCAACAATCTCCTTTGAACCTTTGGGATGGGTGCTCCAGTCTTCATGCAAAGCCTCCCAGTCCTCTACTAGGCTCTACAGTGTAGATTGAGTGCTGAGAGTGAGGACAGGAGCACCTTTCCCATGGAGAAATGCGTGGCAGAATGACAACAAAATGGAATCCAAGCCTGGTTTTTCATAGATACTCCATAGGAAACCTTAGAGATAGCTGAGTCCCTTCAAGGTCTGGCTCTGTGAGTGTGTTGGGGAGCTAGTCCTCTGACAGACTCAGCTAGAACAATGTAATGGTAGAGCTAGAGACCATTTGGCCAACACTGTTGCCATGGTGGTAAAATTGATCTTTTCTTTGTTTTTTGTTATTCTGTGAACCAACAGTCATTCACGACGGAATCGTGAAATGACTACTTCCGGGTTCCCATTTCCGAAAACCGAAAAATAACCGTAAAAAACGCTCACATTTTACACCTGTCAGCGGTAAAAGAAGTCATCCTGTAGGTTGGGGTACTGTACCACTGGACTATCTTTTGGCTTTGATTTGAGAGATGCGACTGATGAGAGGGGCGGATCCCTGGTAGTCTAGCCCGTGCTGGAAGATCATTAAAGCAATCAAGAAGACGGCGAGCGCTAGTAGCCACTGGTGGTGCTGGCTGCGCCGCAGCGTTGGCCATCAGACGGTACTACAAACCTGGTCTGGCCTAGCAACTTGCTTCAGAATGATTCAGCAGTTTCCTAGATCTGGTCTTGTACCTGATAGCTCACCCCTCTGCCTGTCTTCTCCATTCTGGTGTACCATGTTGGATAAGGCAACACTGTAGCTACTGGCTAATATCAAGTTAATTTGTTGATTTGGGCGAGCTGAGCAGAAAGAATGATCTTTCTGCCAGGTTGCTCTGAAATCTGGATTCTGAGAATGCCAGTTTCCTTAAAATTCTACGTCGGTGCGGTCTTTTTCTTATCCGGGTCCGCTAAATATCTAGACCGGCCAACACACTCCTGCCCGTGGTCCCTAATGGAGATCCACGAGGAACGACTTAAAACTAAACTAAAGGGGAGGATGCCCCATGATGAAAGCGCGATGCGCATGTAATAGGGCACCTTGGAGGAGCTTCGTGAGAAAGTCCCCTTGCATGTCCTGTGTGGGACAATACACCACTCGTACATTCCCCTGCTTCACTTGGTCGTGAATAAAGAAAAAACGTACAAAATTTCCCAGAAGACACGAGTACGCTTACCGCGAGCTGCTAGTTTTACCATTCTTGGCGACAATGATAGCACTCTTGTTGTCTTTGTAAAGGATGTTCTCCTGTACATCGACACCTTGTGCTTACAAAAACAACTTGGTCCACCAACAAAAGGGCTCATAACATCAGGTCGGCTCCAAATGGAGTTCGGCAGTCCGAGTACATTTGCTTGTCGGGGCGTTGAGCTTCTGATTGCTAGAGACAGCAATTGGTGCACCGCGGCCGAAAATGAGCACTCCTCCGGTATGCGAACGGTAGTCTGGGTGTACAGAAAAACTGGCATCCACCCACCCGCGAATAAGACCTAGCCG